GCCTACAGAAATCACTTGCTTTTTTTCCTCCTCATCCCCTTCGCAGAGCAGAGAGATTGGAGAGGAAGAGATTTCAAGCGAGTATTGTAGGCTGCCGGCATGATCGCATTGCTTTTGATGTGTAGAATTCTAAGAATATTCCTTCTACCATTGAGAAGTAGGTGCCATTGAACAACAAAAGACTTCTCTGTGTTCTGTCACATAGAATAATCCTGGATCCATACAGTGATATCCCTTAAATGTCCTGAATCCAATCCTTTCTTTTGCTTCCCATTCTATCTATTCCATTCATAAACAACCACATAATGTAAACTACTACTGTATATTTAAGATTAGGCTAATTTACAAGTGACAAAATTACATTTGTCAAAACTCTGTTTTTTATGAAATACAAAATTCTAGATTTCCATATTTATTAAAATGATATTTCTCTGTTGATAAAATTTACATTGCTCATCATATTAGCACATTCACAAGATTGGTCTTCCTTTGCAGTATAAACTTATCATTATGTTTGTAAATACTTTATTTGTAGGTTTGTGGTTTTCTGTCCCCTTAAGTTTATTAGCTAGGTTTGCTAAACAATGATTGCAACAGGGGAGAAAGGCAAGATGGATTGAATCTGCACCACCATCCCCTTTGCCACCACCACTTTTGGTTCAATTTGTTGTCTTTTAAATATTCCCCAAATCTGGTTCACAGACTATCATCTGATAACTCAGAAATATGCATGTTCATATTTTAAGAAACAGATTTGTGTGGTTGTGTGTATTCGAATTATTGTTGACTCCTGGTGACTGCCTGGACAAGTCCCTGCAGTTTTCTTGGCAAGATTTTTCAGAAGTGGTTTGCCATGGCCTCCTTCCTCAGGCTGAGAGAGTGACTGGCCCAAGGTCACCCAGCTGGTTTCATGTGTAAGGTGGGACTAGAACTTACAGTCTCCTGATTTCTAACCTGGTACATTAACCACTACACCAAACTGGCTCTCAGAAGACAGATTACTTGTGACTAAAAGCTAAAGACAAGAGGAACTGTGACAGTGCTCATGTCTGTCTGTCTGTCTGTCTGCTCTTTTCCCTTGAAACCTTCTCTTCACGCTTACCCTCTCTCCTTTTTCTTTCTTGGTGAAAGCAGGAAAGATGCCTAATTACAGTACCTTCACATCCTCACTTCTCCCAGTAGGCCTCCTATTATCCAAACAGGCAACAACTCAGATCTGAGTTAGAAAAGAGTAAAAAGAGGTGGATATGGGGAAGGCAAATGGAAATAAACAGAGAGGGGGCTGGAAAACTTTCAGAAAGGCCAGTGTGGGTGAATTAGGATACAACTAGGATGGTCAAAATGTAGCTTGGCAGTAAGACATCTAACATTAACTGGAAATGTATGCAGGACTTTTCATGTTTTTGCACCAAAATAATTCCAGGGACTGTGCCAAGTAAACCCAATTTTTTCCCCTCGAAAAACGGCATTCCAAATAAATTATGAAAATCATATTCATGTTTGCTTGTTTTTACAAAGTAAACCTGCTCATTTGGCAAGATTTACTTTCATATGCTGAAGGTTTCTGAATCCTGCCAATACCGTATAAAGTTACAAATCACAGGAGGATTTAGTCACTGTGTTTCCAGCTTTGACTGTTATAGCAAGAGGGACTTAATTTTACTCCATTGAAGGATAGTCCTAGATGCAACATGTTCAAAGGCACCTCCCTTTAACATAAATGTGTACAGTCAAGCAGAAAAGATGTGGGCAAACTAAAAGTGAAGAGCATGGAAGCATTGTAAAATCAATTTTTATCTATATTATGGATTGCAGCTAAAAATGAGAAAGGAAAAATAGCAAGGAAGTTGGGG